CATCGAAGGCAGACAGATCAGGTGCCCCCTGCCCTCCACCCGTGTCTTTTTTCCTCTGTTGAACTGAAATTCTTCTTTTGGCCTCGAACTTCATGTCAAACCATTTTTTTTTCACTTTGGCAACCGTCCGAATTTCTGGTGAAACCACATTAACGGCTTGTGTTACCGTATCCCATGCTTCTTTTTTACCTGTGCCCGTTACGCCAGTGGATACACTTTTAAATAGCACATTTTTTCTGGCTTCCACCTCCGACAGCAAAACCTCACATTCATTATCGTTAAAGTTCTTTTTCTTTGTCTTTTGTTTTGGTGCCATAATTGTATTTTTCTGGACGAGTGCCGCTTTGCGTAAAGCCCTTATATGGAGCTGGTTTGGGCGTGTATTATGCTAATTACTAACCTCGTGCACACGGGCGCTCATTTAGAAGACTCCAAATTCACTAACAGAAGAACAAGTTTAAGAACAAGCTCATATGCGTACGCACGTGTTGTGAATTAGCCGGAAAGTTTTCGTGAGAAGGTCAAATGTGCGTATAAATACGAAAAACGTACGAAATTATTAGTGAATGAGACCCAATGTTTTCACCTAAAAATTTCCTTTACTGTTCAATTGAAGAAAAAAAGTTAACTACATCTTGGATGGCTTGGGGGTAAGTCCATTAACAGCACATTTTCATTTTTGGGTGAACTATCCCTTTAAGCCTGCATAAGCCTGTATGACAAATGTTATAAATGCAGATTGTTATTAAATAAAGGCTATTATGTGTTGTAATGTGTGTGTTTTAGTGATTGATAGACACCAGGTAATAATTTTCTTAAACTAAATATAAAATATAATAACTAGTTCCACAGCAATTTCTTATGATTCCCAAATAATAAATCTTAGTTGAGGTAACATATGAAACACATGGAGTGAATGGTTAAATTTTAATTGACACAATTTGCTGTAGTTTTCTAAATGTTTGACCAATTAAATAATTTTAGTTGAATGGACTATAAAACTATTTCAGTAAAGGTTGAGCCAACTAAAAAATAACAATTCAGGCAACACTTTGAAGACAGAAATTGACTGAACGTAAAATTTCCGTGGAACTTGTTACTAAATAATAATTAGTTGAAACGGCTTGAAATTTTTTACTAATTATTAGTGACCCGGATGTCATTATCTTCACCTGTGCATGATTATTTTCCCGATTTATTTTGTTCACCACTTGATAAGAAATCATACCTTGACAGATGCTATTTGTTTTGCTGAAACGTTGGTAACTGATAAATGATGATTGAGTGTGAAGTTATGTTTTGTCTTTATTTAGTTTGCCCCTTAAACCTGCACCTCTAAAAGGTGTGCGTTTGTGTTATTTATTGTTATAATGAAAAGAAAACAGACCAGCAGGGCCGAGTAATAATTGCTGTAATTTACTCTTTTGATGTTCACAGTTACTCTGCTACCCGAAGATGTGATGTTATTACTTAGATGTTGCTCTTTCATGGATCAGAAGACTTAATGTAGATCACAGTAATGTTTCATTTAAATATCATATTTTTGTCTTATTAGTGTCTCTATGGAAACTCGGTGTGATTTTATGAAAAAAAAAAAAAATTAATTGTTTGCAGTGAGTACAAAGTATATATATATATATATATATATATATATATATATTTATACATACAACATCACTGACGCCAATAAATGTTTCTCCTTTTAACCTCTTTGCTGCCTATGTGAAACAAGTAAGCTATTATAGATTATTTATGTATTATAATTATTGCTATTATTATTATTTAATTTCCTATGGGTATTTAAATTAGGAAAAACAAATGTGATTAACAACAATAATGACAAAGAGATAAAGCAACATCGGAATGTTTTTATTGTTTTTTTTTTAGAAAACAAAACAACCAATAAATACAAAGATAAAAAGCAACTTTATGGCGAGTGCCTCACCGTATTCCAATAGTAGCATTTCTGTTTCTTTTATATAGTTGCGTATATCTTTTTTTTGTTTGTTTTACTGCACTCAATGACAGCGGGCAGCAGCACCCAAAGCAGACGGGTCACAATGGATTGCAATGAAACATGAAACAGGCATGCAGATCCATGAGTGATCCTCTTCACGACCCCACACACACAAACTCATACAAAAATGTTTTGGCACATTAAAGACAACATCTAGAAACATTTTTGTTTGTTTGTTTCTTTTGCAAAATATATATTATATATACACACAAAGAAAACAAGAAATAAACCCAGAAACCCTCTTTGTATCTATTCGTTTGATTTGCCTGTCAAAATACTGACACTTTCGAGTGTCACTTTCAGATTTAAAGGTGAAGTGTGCCATTTTTGCACCTCTAGCATCACCAAACATTTGCAAGAAAAATTCTGTTGTTTTCAAACAACAGTCCTGAACTGGTCACTGGTCAGCCAAAAAGGTAGTCCCGCCCCAAACTCACACCATTGGTTGAGTCAATGTTTTGATAGTCATACGGGGAAAGGTTACCTCCCCTTTCTCTGCTTTGCCCGCCCAGAGAATTTGGCCCGCCCATGAGAAAATGAGCTACTACCGTGCGAGACGAGCGCAATATTTTTTTTTCCTCGAGAGACATCATGGCTTGCAAACGAGCGAAGCATGGCAGTTGCCCCGCCTCTCTCCTCCTCATTAGCATTTAAAGCTACAGACACAGAAATGGCACGTCCTAAGGAAAGCTCATTGTGGGACTGGCTCGTAGTGGCTGAAATTCTGCACCAAGGCTGAATTTCGGGAAAGAGACTTCAGATACATTACTAGGGACCACTTAGGCCTATATAAAAGCATCCAAAAAGCAGCATGTCATGGGACCTTTAATTCATTCCCTCGATTTACTAGATCGTGAGCACGATTTAATAGGCTAATTCGTTCCCTCGGTTTAAGTAAATCCTGCGCTTGATACAATAATTTGTGCCCTCCAATTCTTAGTATGCCATGTAGATTCCTCTGACTTAAAATAATTCCATGCAATGCTGCAAGGCTTTTGAGAATGTCTCTATAACTCATTCCCAACTCAAAATAAAACCCAATTAAAGTGTCTCTGTCCATAACATAACATAACGTGACATAACATATAGCAGCAACATGTTTATGAGAATGCGTACGCGAACAGGAAGTACAACTAATTATTATTTTGTGCGCATGATTTACCTAGAACGAGGGCACAAATTATTATATCGAGCGGACGATTTACTTAAAATGAGGGAACAAATTATTAAACGGTGCGCATGATCTAGTAAAATCGAGGGAACGAATTAATAAATCGTGCCCACGTTTTTTTTTTTTTTCCATGTCATATGCGGGCTCCGTAGCTTTAAACCCAGCGGGCACCTTGACATCAATTTGACGTCAAATATTAGTCGAGACTTGATCAATGTGATTTTAAATTAAGTTTTGATAGCAATTTCTTCCAGTGGTGATTGGGTGAAAATAGGAAATGAATCCCACACTGAAACTGGTTTAATGTTTATGTAGGCCAAAATGTTTGACGCTCAATTTACATCAAATCAACATCATGTCAAGTTTGTGACCTTACTTTGATTTGGATATATGACTTGTTTTTTTTGAGTCATTTTTTGACATCAAACTGACGTCTTTTCAACATCAATTGCTCACTGGGAAGTGAATGTGACGAGACATGAAATGTTTTGCCTTTTCGCCATATTGGGCATACAAATAAGAGTGAATGTGTGTATATTTTAAAATATTATTTGCAAATAGTTCAAAATGTTTACTTCCCAACTGGAATTAGAACTAGAATTGTCTTCACTGTTTATATATATAATTGGCAATACGGCAAAATAAAAGCTTGCTGATTTTAAGTTTGAAAAATATGAAAATTCATATAAATATTATCATTTTATTTTTAAGTTTGCTATAAAATAATTGTATTTTTATTTAAAACTCCCTTTTTATTTTAAATTATAATAGTATTATCACACTTTATAATTTTGTTTATTATTTTATTAAAAAAATAAATAAAGTGCAATAATATTATTATCACTATTATTATTTTTTATAGTTATATTTAATGGGTCACAAGCAAACACCTAAGCAAACACCACTAATTAGTTCTTGACATAAGTAAGCACACTAACCATAGACTCCACCATGTTGGGCTTGGAGTTGCGGAGAGTCTTGACAGCATAGAACACGTCCACCATGTTGTGATGGTGCACCATCTCCATTATCATGGTGCAAGCGCAGAAAGTGCCACTGCGTCCGCCGCCATTCCTTAAAGACAACAATACGTCAATTCATTAGCATCTTCAAGAAAAGCAGCATCTTGTAACACATGAAGGAGCGGGATCTGAGCAGCACACTTTCAAAGCTTGTGTGGATTATTGTATTAGAGATGTCTGGAGGGGATAGCTGTGAAAGCGGCATATTTGTGCCACCACAGGCTGCCAGACATCTGCAATACTTTTGAGCATGAAGGAATGGAAAGTACCAGTGCGCTCTGGGGAAAAGACATGCAATAAAAATGTCACATTCTACTGAGTTAAGATCATTTCCCCTGGGCTACTGATAGAGGAAGGGCACCCCAGCATAGATGCTTTGAAGCCCGATACGCTGCATCTGTACCACGCTCTCATTAATAAAGGATAGACATATTAAACCACAGGCAAGTGCAGGTGGCAGGTACGAATCCCGAGGTCAGAGCACTAAGAAGTCAAATACTGAGGAAAATGAAGACATGACAAAGCGGCCGGAGATTAAGAGCGTTAAGCAGATTTTCAGAGTTGGGTGGCCACGGCAATTGCTGGAGTGCAGGAGCAAAAGTGACCTGGATTGTACAATCAACACAATGAAGTGTAATTGCTCTCCAATTAGTATTTGGAAGCGGAGCCGTGTGAAACTTACAGGCAGTGCACTACAGTGCGACCGTCGCCGCACTCCCTCAGCCACTTCTGCACTTGTGCCAGCAGGTTGAGAAAGGCCTTCTTAGAGTCTGGGATTTCACGATAAGCCGACCAGCGCAAGAACTGGAAATGTCGCACTACCAGATGACCTTCCTGCAGCTGAATGATAAAGACAGAGAGAAAACATGAATAAAAGAGAAGCACAATAGCAGGTCAAAGAATTTTGCGGGTATTTTCAACAGACAAGACATAATGTTTTTAATTAACTATTTGCAATGACAAAAACATGCTAAGCAAATAAGTTAATTTTAACCCTTTCTACAGCATGATAGGAAATAATCAATATAATCATATATATTCTTTCCCACAATTTTTAGACATTGTTTAAATGTATTTTTAAACGTTAATGTCAAACTCAACCATTTAAACTTTTTAACCAAATTATCAAATGCTAAAAATCTACACATCATTTTAATTTAGGCTAAATATGCAACCCTGCAATTCAAAACCCTCTTACACATTCTGGTGCAAGTGTTTTTTTTTTTGTTTTTTTTTCTTCTTCAAGGCTAGTCCCACACATGTAGTGCCAGGTAACAGTGTTGCAGAAATGGCAAATCTCACAAAAATAATAATTAAGTAAACTAAAACAGCTCACATGTAATATTTAGTTTGACCTCGTGAAACAACATTATCTGAACAACACTGGATCACTGCAAAAAACATACATTTACCTACAGTTTTTCAAAACTCCAAAAACTCAAAAATACAGTCTACCATACAATGCATCCCCAATATAACTAAATATAAGTACAATGTAAAAAAAAGGTATGAAATGATTAATTTAAGTAAATACATAATATGTAAGTACATAAGTAGTTAAGGACACTTAATATAAAGTGGGTCCCTAATAGGTTTTGATGTTTGCACATTAAGAACTCCATATGTATGGCTTTACTAACATAGTAAACTTGCTTGGTAGCTCACCTGGTAAAGCATTGCAATTGGGTACACACACAACGCACATTTCATTTTATAATTTACAGATTCACTTTTATCTGTTTTGGATCAAACTGAACACACTTTTAGCAGCATTTCACTTCGAAAGTGTCACAGAATGTGCAAGAAGTATTGTAATATAATTTCACAGAAATGTCACCACATGCGTGATTTTCCATTGAGCATAGGTTCAATCTGAAGCTGAAGCATGTCCTTTCACTAAATGTCTCATGCTCTTTTTGCATCCTATTCATGGAATATCTACTGTACTTCAAACACTCATTTCAAAAACAGCACACGATATTCAGCTCATCTGCAAGTCATCGACTGGATCCTCTGAGCATTAATTGGCATCTAAATTACTCTGTAACAAATCGTAAAAGCATTGTTCTGTCATGGGGCTGTCTATTTTTCTTTATCTAGGGATGGCGCTATTTAGCAACATGATCTATCAATAACACTCTACACCTTGTACCTTTTTGGGGAAGCGAGACTCATTGTTCCAACACGGGTGGCTCTCTCTGGGGTCCTGTGACGAGGCAGTACGGGACATTTTCTGACAATGACATGGAGTGTTTACCCGGCTTGCAGAGTCTCAGAGAGACAGAGGGGACTGACAGGGGGCTAGCCAAACTGACACAGGCACGGATGGGAATGCGGCTAAAGGTTGACAGCCTGCCTGACAGGAGTGCTAAAGGGGGCTAGCAATGAGAGGTGCAACACTTGGGACAAGATTTCAAAGAGACAGGATGTTGACATGTTGAACGCCGCGCACAAATGACGTCGCTGTCGACTGGTTCCTAGTACACACTGTCGGTGCGAATGCAACCCTTTAAATGGTACTGGGAAATAGTTCGCGCAAAATCGTCCCAGTACTTTAGTACTGTCCATTTAGTTCTGGAACTAAAGCGGTGCGAAAGGCCCTAATGAAGCCATCAGGGAGGACTAAGGTCAGCTAGAGGTGTGAGAAAGTGCCTTTTTATTCAGACAAGTCAATATCAGAAGCACAGACCACACTGAGAGATACTGACACAATACGTACAACTCTATCTCTCTCACACATGCACGTAAAGTGTGAAATAAGCAGGTCTAATTCCAGCAGTGCAGTGCCTCCAGTGCTAGTTTGTGAAATTGAGACTTTTAATGACTGACCACACTTTTATACCTTTGCTTTAATTTAATCGGTATTGAATTCAATTTCTAAAAGACTCTGAAAAGATAATTTAGCCATTAGCTTCAGTTAATTAACCTTTCCCAGAGTGGCCCTGAACTCAGAGAATCTCCATTTAAAAAAAAAAAGATGGACGTGGAAGATGGGTCATTTGTCTAATGAGGTCTGATTTGAATGAGGTACTGTAATAAATGTCAGTGCTAACACTGGGAGAGAACGGCTCGTGATCGGAAGGCACATACAGGGGATAACATATATCAGAAGATGGCTTATTTGGCCCTATAGACTCACGCGTTTGATGTTGGTCACTCTGAATAGGCGAGTGATGACGTTGTCATCAGTGGATCTGGAGAGCAGCTCCACTGTCATGGGTCCAAACTGCTGCATGCCTGTTTCAGGCCAGTACTGCAGACAAGGCTGACAGAGAGAAGGACACAATTACATATGCAAATTGCTATTTTAATACACTCCTGTACAAAGGATAGATCAAATGCGTTGTTTAATGAAGGGGCAGCGACCATCAGTGACAAATAAGTAGGGTTGGGTATCGTTTGAATTTTATCGATTCCGGTTCCGATTCTGCTTATCGATTCCGATTCCTAATTCCGATTCCAATAAGATAAAAAAAACATTAAACAAATTTTAAGTCAAATATTTAGATGTCAAACATTTTTATTCTGTTTTATGTCTATGGTTTTATCAAAAAAAAATACCACAGAAAAAAACAACAACTAGACTAATATAAATTTCAAACATTAAATTGTTAAAGACAAGTAAACAAATTAATTAGCAATAGCATAAATAAATAAAACTGAACAAATGTCAGGTACAGAAATTGAAATCAAAAGTTTAAAAACACTGTATAGTTTTATTTTAATAAATAAAATATTGATTAATCCTCATTAAATTTACAAAAGATATTCAGTCAGTTAATGATTTTCTTTTGTTCTTTGATTAACAACATAAGACAAAAAAAACAGCTGTGTTTATGATGATATACTGACGTATTTCGTGCATACTGGTCGATAAATGTGAAAGAGAAGTCAGTTCTGGCCCGGAACAACCTTTGTGGAAATGCACGGAACAGTTCGAGAACGGACACAGGTCGGGAACCTGCATCGGGACCACTGTTCTCTGTGCTCGCGCTTCAGATGTGTGCGCTGCACACAAACAGTGTGCAAGTTCTTTCCCTTCCTGCACTTAAATAGTTTAAAATCACATTAAAATGCGAACAGGGGAATCGTTAAGCGGAATCGAAATGCACATGTCTTATCGAATACCCGACTATTGGAAATTTGGAACCGGTTCCCGATAGCCAACCCTACAAATAAGGATTAAATAATGCCCATGACAAAAAAAAAAAATCTAGTTTGAAACACCAGTGCCAAGAAATGTTTTTAGAAATGTAATATATATTTTTTTTTCAATTTTGAAATTCATGTTAGTTTTCATTTTGTTTATATATCGGGTAGAACCACCCGATGCGAAGTGGAAATGGTTGCCTCCGCAAAGTGCATTAAAATCATTTAATGCACAGCTGGCCATGCATTATCCCGCTTATTCCATGGTCATTTGCCAGCATTGACAACTTAAAACCTGTTTATGATGTTTGCAGCGCAATAATTAACCAGAAGGGTAAAAATGACTCTTCAAATCAGACACAGAGATGAACTAGTGTGGTAAGACAACATTTATTTGAATGAATTATCGATCGAGAGAGATGACAGTTCCCAGACAGCAACATAGTGTTGGCCCAGATCCGGCCCACATCTGGCCCATGTGAAATCCATGCGGGCCAGATGTGGGCCGGATCTGGGCCGAAACTGTCTGCTGTCTGGGTTGTGTGTGAATTACCTGCATCTGCGCGTCTCTCTCAAACAATGAAGCTGTTTAGTTACTTCAAAAACAGCGATTTTACCCCCTCCTTGTTGAGAAATATAATGTAGCGATCTAGTATCTATGCTATTTTATTAATAAAAGTCGCAATAAGTTTCTGTGTGTGCGCAGCCAGATCTGCAATCTCCGACCTCTCTCCCTCTCTGTGCATCAATTAAAGCAGCGCATTAATACAGAACGGTGATTAAACTGACTTGGAACTACCTATGCATTAAACGGCTTTAATGCATACCTGCCAGCCAATCAGAATCGAGTATTCAGACAGACCATGGTATAAATAATACCATTATATCTTTGAATTATACCATTTCATATTGACAACATGATCAAATATTAGCCGGTAACACTTTACAATTAAGGTCCCATTTGTTAACATTCATGAATTTAATCCACCGTAATTTAAGGTAGTTAACACATTAACTAACATATAATAACAATGAGAAATACACGTGTTACAGTATTTATTAATCTTTAACATAAATTCATAAAAATGCAACTGTTCATTGTTTGTTCATGTTAGTTCAGGTATATTAAATAACATTAGCAGATTCATTTATTTATTCATTTATTTTAATAATGTTTTAGTTGATGAAATTAACACATATAGTATTTTTCATTGTAAATTCACATTAACTACTGTAGTTATCTAATGTCAACTAATGTAACATTATTGTAAAGTGTAAATTTGAACCTATTTCTTAATAATATTTTAAACAGCTTATATATATATATATATAATCATAGAAAATAATCATAGAATCATAGAAAATACATATTCAATTCAATGCCTGCATGAAATGCATATATATATATATATATATATATATATATATACAGCAGAAAATGAGCATCTTGCGATTAGGCGAAGGGTGAAGATAGACAGTGAAAGGATAATGGAGTCACCTATCGTTTTTTTTTTTTTTCACCTAACATTATGACCCACATCATCATAGAAGATACATATTAAAGTCAATGTCTGGGGGGGAAAAAAAACATAAAAACTAAATTAACAGATAGCAGACAGAGAAAATGGGCATCTTGCGATTAGGCGAAGGGTGAAGATAGACAGTGAAAGGATAATGGAGTCAAGGAAACGCCAGAGATAGGCTAATCAGCACTGAAAATCCAATTGCGGCCCACCAAGATAAATAATACTTGCTCATTTCTCCATATCGGCTACATTTTCTAGTCCAATCTCCCACCAGATTACCATTTGCTCAATGTGTCAATTAATTTTCGCTCACGCTGGTTGCAGACAGATCTAATCCAGCACAGTGTTATTTGAAACGAGCAGGCGTGAAACAGCTTCAGCAATGTATTTCCAATGAGAGACAGAGAGATGCTGATATAGATGAGATAGAAATTGATAAATCCTTGTCACAGTGCGTATTAACAGAGTGACATGGTGCAGAAGAATATTCATCCGAACACACTCAGACAGATCAGAAAAGAGTGACTGTAGCAGAAAGAGAACAGAGAGATATTTCTAGAAGGTTAGATGACTAACTGAGTGTGATAATGTCTGGAAAAACACTCACACAGACATCGGATGGAAGACAGGAAGCAGACAAACAAACACAAATACAAATACACACACACACACACACACACACACACATTTTGTATTCAGTGGAATAATGCGGACCAGAGATGCTTTATCATGGAGAACGGGTCACAGTGCTTGCCTACAAGGGGAGAGGAGTGAAAATCACGGGTAAGTTGGTATCTTGGTGAGTTTGTCCTTTCCATTGCCAATTTAGACAAGACAAACACATTATCAATGTGGGGAGTCTCAAATGAAAAGCACGTTGTGTGTTTGCTGTTCACCCAGAGTGAGAATTATGGGCTCTGTGGGGGGTTATTTTCACACCACAGTCATCGAAAACATTACAAATCACTATAAATCTCACAGTTTTAATTTGAACCTGGACAACTTTCATATGTGGAAACAAATTTTGTGAAAAAAATCGAATGAAAAAGACTGTACTTTATCGAGGTTCTGTCGCTTAGAATATGGTTCCCATAAATATACGAAACAGTAATTGTACATATGTATTTCAAAGAAAATGTGAAGATTTGCTTATAAATATGTAGATGTATATTTTGACTGCTGCTACTGCTGAGATGTATAGTTTTGTATATGTACATTTTAAGTGCTGCAATTGCTGAGATGTATAGTTTTGTGATGTGATAAGTGAAATTGTATTCTTGTTCGTTTTTATTTATTTGTAAGACTGTTTGTATTGGATTGATTTCTGGACCCCAGGAAGACTAGCAACCTCTTTGTGGAAGCTAATGTGTATGGGATCAGATTCCCGCCAAATGTATTGCAGTCAAGGATAAAAAAATAACAAGCGTGAAACCAAAATTTAAAAACGCAAGTAAAATTATATTGCACAAAAAGGTAGGCGTACAGCAGTGACAGACAGACACATATAACAGTGTCCTGTATGGAAAGATGTTACCCCAGCTGACAGTTATCCATTTTCACCTGTACAAGTAAACAGAACACTGAGCATCAGCAGTAATTAGGCGCGTTGGAGTGACGTCACCGCCCCTCTTCAGCTGATTGGTTAGAGGAGGAGCTGTCAATATAGAACTAATGGACCAATGATGACGCTTAAGCCCGCCCTGATTTACATGAAACTCTAACCGCAACATTTGGAAGAAGAAACGCAGAACGTGGAAAAACACGTAAACACGTAAAGAGCGAAGGGAAAAACAGCATAAGCATACAAAAAAAAATAAAAATATCTGCAGAAAATGTCTGAGAGCACAAAAAAACAGAGAAATATAATCGAGGAAAACATGATTTTCTGTGCAATTCGGATAATTTTGCATTAATATTTCAGTTTTGTCCAATATGATTTTAAATGTGTTTACAGTTTTGATTTGTGCTTATTATTTTTTTAAATGCATTATAACATTTTTGATTTACACTTATTATTTTTTGATCTGTGACCATTGTTTGCTATTCTGAAAACTTTACTTTCGTTTTTTACATTTTGTGCAATATAATTTTACTTGCGTTTTTAAATTTTGGTTTCACACTTGTTTTTTTGTTTTTTTATCCGTGACTGCAATACATTTTGGCGGGAATCTATAAATATATCTTACCCAGGCTGAGTTGGACTGCTTGAGCTGGTTGAGCATGACGATGGAGGTACAGCCGTAGTCAAACACCAGTCTCCAGAAGTCAGCGGTGGTGGTGGGCAGGGGGTGAGGGGTCACCACGAATGCAGCCGGCTGCAGGAAGCTGTCCATCAGTGCAGCGTTTATGTAGTTGTTGCTGTCGCCCTCGGTGGAGACTAGAAACGCCAGCGCGCGGTCGGGAGGCAGCACGTCCATGCTCCGGTTCTTCTCACGGTTGTGGGGCAGCAGAGAGACGCTGCACTCCTCCACATCCAGGTGAGGGGTGACAGAGTTTAGAGTCTGAAGAGACAGAAGTCAGACACAGAGAAAAGACAAGGGATCAAAGGGTGTCTGAAAGCACTCAGAGGACGTGGAAAGATATAACTAAGTAGACTATGAGAGGATGAGGAAGTAAAACTATGCAGGCAATGGCTAGAGGCAAGAATGACCAACAGAGAAAAATGGAAGAGGTGAATAATGCCATGAAAGAGAATTTTCAAGACTTCTACAATCCTTCAGACACTAAAGCATAAAGCATAAAATGATAGATTACTGCCTTGAATAAGTTATTTCGCATAGCAATGGGCAGCTTAACTGCTCAAGACAAACATGGGAAATGGGTTTTTAATAAACATAACTGTTTCAAATTAATGTTTTCAGTATGGTTGTGTGTAATTTACATTGTAAAGCAAAATGTCCAAGTATTGCCAATTTATATTTGCCACAGACCTTGATGTACTCATAAGCTGAAAAATCCCATTGTGAACCCATGGAGAATTAGTCTTTTGGGTTTTGGCATCACAACTGCTGCACACATTATCAAAAAGAACATAAAAACAGCTGATGATCCAGTTCTATTATAATTATTATTATTTTAGTATTATTTATATACCATTATAGTAATTATTATTATTTTTATATATTTTCAGTTTTATATATTTATTTGTTTATTATTTTGCTTACATTTTAGTATGTTTTCAGTGAGCTTTTGTCATTATTATTACTTATTTCTATTCAGCTTTAATTTATTTTATTTTAGTCTTAGTTTTAGTAATGTTAGTATATTTACTAGTAACTTATTAACAGCTGCACTGATCATTCAGTTAATAACACACTGTATAAGAATCAAGCATGTAAACTTCAAAAAAAGTTTCATTTCTGTAAATTCGGTCACATTTTAATTAAACTCCTAATTTGCTGTTTATTAATAGTTCGTAAGGAAGTTGTTAAGTTTAGGTATGGGGAGTGTTATGGGATCTAAAATATGGTCATGCAGAATAAGACATTAAGATGTGCTTTATAAGTACTAATAAACAGTCAGTATGCTAGTAATGTGCATGCTAAGCAACTAGTTAATAGTGTGAATTGGTCCCTAAACTAAAGTGTTACCGGAAATCCATTATTATGATTATTTTATTATTGTATTATTATCATTTTGTCTTGCACACTGTATGTAAACATCTGTTGTGTGAAATAGCTTATTCAGGACAGTAATAAACACTGTAACAATGAAATAAAACAATTTTTATGACCCCTCTTTTTTAATTATTACAATTTAGCAGATTCTGTAAAATGTATGTAAACTTATGATCTCAACTGTAGATAGATGCAGAGATTTGCCTTTGTTGAGAGTTGATGATTTTGTCACAGGCAAATAATGTCTACAGAGCTTAATGGCTGAAAATAAATGCACACTGGTCACATACGAATACTTCTGCTATGAGCCTTGAGGTGAATGAATCAGACTGAGAATCATGCAGATTATTACACTTAATGGGTAAAGTGCTTCAATCCCGATTGGTTCTGACAGCACAAATGAGACATTGCAATTATGATTATTACGATTACATTGGCTTTGAGGAGGACAGGGACAGGTACACAGTCTCAGAGCAGCAGGCATGAAGCCATTAATAGCTTAATGTTAAAAACACACACGCGAGTGGGACTGTAAGGTGAGGGAACACCTCATTAAACCCTTTCTAAATGAACGAAAATAGACTTCACAGCTGGTTGACTTCATCACATTTTGAGCTGTGAGTTAGTATGCGGCACTTAACCTGGATGAAACAAAATTACATTATTTGCATAAAGCCCCAATGGAAATATCATAAAATTAATACAGTTCACACAAACCCAAGCCTCTATGATACTCTGGTCTCTACATTAGTGTTATTTTAGTACTATTTATAACAGTTCTTTCTGGTCCTCGAATCTGATTGGCTGAGAGGAGTGTGATATTCTAGTGATAACAGAAATCCAACCGTTTCACCATTTGTTTCACTCCGCTTGCGGTATTTCTCACTGCGAGTGTCATGACGGATGCTCAAATCCACTATAATTTTATAAATAATACTGTTTTGTGTCACAGAATGTAGTTTTAAGAGTTTTTAGGCGAGAATGTACTTGTTTATACTTCAAATATGCGGTTTGTTAATAAAGATAATGTCTATTTGAAAATTTGCTTCAGTCTTTTCAGAGATGTGAGCTCCAGGGCGTCAGCAGCCATTCAGCGCACATGAACCCGCCAACAGCAGCCTCACCTCGGCCAGATCTTCTGGAATTTGCCGCTAGCTCTGATGTCTCTATAGTGGTTAAACATAAGATATAATTTGTTTTGGGAAAATCAGGTAGTCTTTGGTCTCATTAATCTATTATTTGTTCCAGAGCAAATAGTTTTGTCTGAGAGCATCATCTCATCACGTTATATTTTATGTAACTTTGATGCTGTATATCAGAGCGCTGCCTTTGTACTTTTGACTGAATTGCCTAGCAAACTTTTATGATGCCTATCGTTGTTGTTTATTAAATATTATCATTCAATAAATTATATTTTAAATAATAATAGTAGTATTTAATGATAGTATTTAGTATTGAGAAACAGCAAGTGTGTGTCTGTGATGGTGATTTTAGTTACATTGTTCCGCCATTAGATGGCGACACACATCCTGGCGGGGTGTTGACAGGGTTTGTGCCTCACTGGCATTCGCCTGGAACCAGATTACACAATCAACAACAGGTCATACACTTTATTAGCATGATATAGTCTGGAAGTAAATCGCTGGGTGACATCATCTTCACAAAACTACTAAATACTGTCAAGTTTATTCCACAGCTGTTAAGTGATTTTGTTAATCAGGGATTACACATAGAATGACTTAACAAAACAGAGCCAAATGAGTCCTCATCAATCATTTGCCTAGTTATTATAGAAAATGTCACATTTTTAAGAGACTGTTTTTATGAGTGAGTCAGCAGTAAATACTTTTATATTGAAAGAGACTGAAACAGGGTTGTAAACAAGGAAGCAAATGTTTTCTTCTTTTTTTTTCAACAACACCTTGTAAGTCGCTGCCAACGAATGCAGTGAGCAGCGCTGTCATCGGAAATCACTCTTAACAGATGAAAGGACAGTACGACAAAGATGTCCTCAGTGGACATTCAAACTAATGTTTTATTGTGAATATGGGATTGAGCTGAATAATAAACGCTGAATGAGTAGATTGGTCTCTCTAAGCGAGATCCCAATTCGTCGGTCATCCGACGTGATATCTCCGTTCCCTCCTTCAGGGAACGAGAGTTACCATACATAATCGAGACGTTGTAGTGTGTGTGTTTTTGAAAGCTTGTGTGTGATGTCTGAGGGAAAAGTTTGGTTTTTCAGCAAGAGTGAATGGTGTTGAGTGTAGAGCTTCATTTTGACCTGAAAATAGGATGTTTGGGGAATTGGGTGAGACGTTATGGATTTGTGTTTACTGTTTTGAGAATACGAGGCATAGTTTCAAGAAATGTGCTTAAGCAATCGAGAAAAACTGTAATACAGTGATACAATAAGCTTTCAATGAAGCAACTCAACGTTCCTTCGTTACTAAAGTTCTAAGTAACGTTTTTGTATTTGAGGCTTGAGGTCAGCTGTTAAACTGAGATTTGAATCTGTGGTGGAAGGAAGTAGTTCCGTACAAAAGAGGGTTTTTAAAGACACTCCATTGTTGTTTCTTTTGTATCCACACACATGTGCCTTCGAACTGTTATATAAATGCAATATTACACGAGTAGCAGTGCGATATGGCTGTATATCAGCACGCTGTGAATTATCAAATCACAGCCGTGCCGGTATACAACCATATCACACTGCTACTCATGTGATATTGCTCATATATTATTTATTTATTTATTTTAATTAAACATTTTATTTAAGTTAATTGCCAATGAAGCATTTGTGATTTTTTTTCATCTGATAGCCTATTTATATTTTATTTAATCTTTATTACATTAAATCCTTTTTTAATAGTTTTAATTAAAAATAACAACAGTTCTCTACATGACTTGAACCCCTTCTTTAGTCTGTGGCATTGTTTTGTTTGTTTTCTTAATTAACTGGTTTTATTCAAGCCAAAATATTATTGTACATCAGTGAATAAACCTAAATACATTAATTAATAAAAATAATTTCAATGGGTTAAATCAGGTAAAAATAGCTCTTCAGAGTAACAACTACAGATTACCACTTTTTACAGTGTTCTCTTCCTGGGTCTAAGCAATGGGATGCAGTCAATGTACTTGAACAAGTCACATCCGCACTGCATTAGCAGAGTACATAACATTAAATTGGGCTGTAATTAGACTGTAATCAGCAGTAATATTGTTGGATATTAACTTGCTAAAGAAGTAATATGAAATAGGCATGATGATGGTTGTCTCAGCTCATGGGTGACAAAAAGGATACATTCTTATAATTACGGCAAAAGAGAATAAGAGTGAATTTGTAAAAATGTGATCAGTGACTCTATTAATTGTTTGAGAGTTCTAGGGTCAGTTGTGAGAGAATCCTGTGAATAAAATGACCCTGGAACTCATGCAGCTATTGCAATTATATTTACACATAGTTGACCATTTGATTCAAAATACAGTAAAAATAGCAACAATGTGAAATATTGATACAATTTAAAATAGCTGGTTTCTATTTAAATATATTTTAAAATGCATTTTATTCCTGTGATCAAAGCTGAATTTTCAGCATCTGTGGCACATGATCCTTCGGAAATCATTATAATATGCTGATTCGCTGCTCAAATATTAGTTTTCTATCCGTTTTTGCTGCTTAATATTTTTGTGGAAACTATGATATTTTTTTCCGGATTCTTTGATGAATAGAAAGATCAAAATAACAGCATTTATTTCAAATAAAAACACTTTTGTGACATTATAAATGTCTTTACTGTAATTTTTGACCAATTTACTGCATCCTTGTTGAATGAAAGTATTAATTTCTCACCCGAAACGTTTGAATAGTTGTGCATCATGGTTTCCACAAAAATATGAAGGAGCACAACTTTTTCCAGCATCGATAATATATCAGCATATTAGAATGATTTATGAAGGATTCGAATAACGCACGAAGGAATTCTGAGAAAAGCACGTAAAAATTAATGTGAGGCTATATCTCCGCAACGGTTTGGCGTATTGAGACCAAACTTGGTGTGTGTTATAACAAGCATGACCTGAGACTACCTGCAGTGTTTCGGCGCAGTGCCCCCTAGTGGTCAGGAGATATGAAAAATGCATATATTTGCCTATAACTTCTGAATGGTTTAGCCAAAATTCACAAAACAGGTCTCTTTAGATTCGGTGCATCATGCCGAGTCGAATCATACCAAATTTTACCATCTCAGCCATTTTGGGCGTCGGCCATTTTGAATTTTGTCATAAAATGCAATATTTTAAGAACGCTTAAACTTTGTTATTACGAAAATCGGTATGCATCTTCGGCACCGTGACCTGATGGTACTCAAAAAGTTTGGGTCAAAAGTTATAAAGCAATTTATAAAAATGTTAATACCTTTTGCATACATTATCATATTGTAATGAGACTGATGTTGATAGATTCCTTGGATCATTTCGAGATCGTGATTGCTGCTTGCAGCTATATTTATTATTATTATTATTATTATTATATTCCAAACCTTTGACCGGTAGAGTGTATTAACTAAACTTAACTAACGCTGAATGACTAAAAACATGCCAAGGTCCAAGACAATTGCAACCAACTGCCCATTAAAATCAGTCTACGTAGAGTTTTGCTATTGCAATGTAAACTGGTGAGTGACATCCTGAAAATCACAACCTCTAACCTCTTCAGACTCAACAACTCTATGGCCAGCAAAGAAAGTGAGGTTAGTCTTTTATGAGTCTTTTGTCCTCAGCTCATTCACTCCTAACTCTGGCTCACCTGAAACTCTTCACGCAGTTGGGAGGTGTTGGTCTGAGAATCCACACTCAACATGTCCTTATAGGTGAGCGCAAACTCGCTGATGGGGATGGCGGTCTCTCCGCACAGACAGGCCTCTAGTATGGCATCGTGGATGAATATATACTGCTCCTGAAAGAGAGATTGACACCTCAGGACAGAAAACTGCTTCAAAGAAATGAGGCCATGTCAAAACATGCACAATGCACTGTTCATTCTTATGCTTTTATCTGGCTTTAATTAAAAACGATGTGACAAAATGTCAGAGAGATTAGGGGTGCAAATATTAACTTAATTTAGCGGTGTAGGAGGGAAATGTCAAAGTCAATCAAATCTATATTCCCATGTAAAGATGTAAAACACTTTTGCACTCATCTACAAATGGCCATCAGCAGAATGTCTTCAGACTCAAGAAATTGGTGGTATATGACAATAGTTATCATTAGTGATAATTACAGAAATTTTCTGAAGAAAATGTGATTGATGCCTGCCCATGCAAACAAGCTTCCATGGTGCTGTGGTTTTCTGGATGCTTGCCAGAGTGTAGTAATGTGGTAGTTAAAGTGTTTAGAGTTCCTTTCAAAGTGAAATCTGGCAACACTTCAATATGTTGATTGTTCTACATACGGCAGCAGTTCACCAATGAAATGTTTGGCGAGTGGCGCTAAGGGTTAATGCTCATGTTTGTAAAAGATGTACCAAGTACACCCAACCCAAAACCTAACCAATTTTTATATCAGCAAACATCATATAAAAATGCACTGCCTGAAGCTACCATGACATACAAGTCTCCCACTAAGAGCTCAATGCTGTACCGGGTGGGCTACTGAGCAAGTTTACTTCATCAGAAAAGGCATGTATATGGACATGAATGCATGATGCAAATATCAAAATCTATTAGTCTGCAAAGAATGCACTACAGCAAAAGTGTTTTAACATGTTTTACTGCCACTAGTGTTCACTGCAACTGGAAACAGCAGTGGATTTCTATGTCTAGATATTTTTTTAGGTAGAGACACAATGAGTCCAGTGAGTCAAAGAATCAACTCCAAGCCTATTCTGGTCATATGCTGGTCTCTAGATATGACTCGGGTCCCACGTCAATGTAAGATGAGATTTCTTTGCCCATTTGTTTTCATCAGATCTTTGACAATCGTTAATCCAACTTCTCCTCTCTCTCAAATCAATCCAATATCTCTCCTCACCAACTCACATGATTTGAGGTGTTGTTCAGGATGAATTGCATGATGAAGTTTAATTAAGTTAGGTATTTAGAAAAAGCAATACCTGCAAATATGAGCAATAGGAATAGTGATGATTGCCTTATCAAACAATCATTATAGACATGAATGACCTTAATTTGATCATTACTAATTTCTGAAGACTCTTCATTTGATTCTGGTCTACTCTTTCACTCTATTAGTATATCAGAGGGTTAAAGGTTTATCTCTGTTAAGGGAGTACACTACACCGGCCTTCAGCTTGCTGTCCTCAATTCATATATCATAAGCAGCAGTGTGTAGCCAGAGTGAGGGCAGAGATTTCAAATGCATTATAAAGCAGTCTAGACAGCAAGGCAAGACGGGTTTCATGGCCTTGCTTTTGTCTTGAAAGTGTTCTTGTGATATTAGGCGAACAGTGATTATACATATATACATATGGTTTCTTCTTTGTTGTCCAGCCCCGTGAGGGTTTACTTGAATAGAAAAATATTCACAGCTTCGTCCATCAGTTTATTAACATGCAGTTCACCAACTCATTCTCTGCAGACTGACTGTATGAGTTACATACCACATTTAAGGGGAAACAATAATATATATGAATTATTCAAAAGTAACACATTTTTATACAAAACACATTTTAATGTTTCTAAATCTGTTTTTACCAAACTTTTGTTCTAGTCCATTTTTAAATACTTGTTTCTTTACAGAATATACAGAATTTTAAAGCAAGGCAAAATTAAAACTGGAAGTTGGCATGAAATATTTCATAAAATGTAGCATTCAACCTCCTACTGCACTTGTATTAGAGACATTAGCATTTAAAAACAACATGAATTGCCATTCGCAAACCACTGTACTTTTGTATTTCCAAGTGGAACAGAATGTTCACAGAGAAAAAATGTGGGACTTGATTGTTTTTTCTCCATCGGGATTTGATGGATGTTTTGGAAACAGTGTTCACAACATCCGGACGAACCAAACTCTGTCATCAAATGAACTGGGGTAAGCACCAAAGTAGCTTGTGTGAAAAAAAAATGTAAAAAATAAAAATCTACATAAAATAGTCAACCTGGTTTAGTTGGATGACTAGTTGACTAGTTTTCTTACCTCAGTCTGGATCATGTTGATACGTCGCGAGCAGAGCGTCTTCACACAGTTATAAATGTCCACCACACCCTCACACTCCGCCATATCCAGCATCACGTCCAATACGATGTAACAGCCGGTTCGGCCAGCGCCCATACTGTAGACAGATGAATAACAAGGAACGATCGCACAGTGTACTGTTGAGCTAATCACAAGGGTCTAGAATGAAATGAGAGTGAGTAAACAAACAGATTTCTTTAATGTGGTGAGTTAAAAAATGCCACCGTTCTAATGTAGCTCTTTGTATACACTAGTAAATGGGCTGTTTTAAGTAGAGGCACTTCACAAATTGAGTTCAGTCAATTCCTGAATATCCGTGCAGGGTTGGATGGAACTACCACAGCTCTTTCAAGCAGAACATTCAAGGAGTGTCTAAAATGACCTGCTACTGCCACAGTCAATTAACCCGGCTCCCAACCTGAGTCATCTCGAAGCTTGACCTGGAGTAGATGAGCCTGAGTTCAGAATCGACATGCTGTACCACGGTACTGTTACCTTGATATACTGCAATGAACACCTGCCAAGCAGCCAGTAAAAAATGTCAAAGGCCAGTTTGGTGGGTTATTATTGATAAATTACAGTGGGTACGGAAAGTATTCAGACCCCCTTAAATTTTTCACTCTTTGTTATATTGCAGCCATTTGTTAAAATCATTTAAGTTATTTTTTTTTCCTCATTAATGTACACACAACACCCCATATTGACAGAAAAACACAGAATCGTTGACATTTTTGCAGATTTATTAAAAAAGAAAAACTGAAATATCACATGGTCCTAAGTATTCAGACCGATATTTCAGTTTTTCTTTTTTAATAAATCTGCAAAAATGTCAACAATTCTGTGTTTTTCTGTCAATATGGGGTGCTGTGTGTACATTAATGAGGAAAAAAAATTTACTTAAATGATTTTAGCAAATGGCTGCAATATAACAAAGAGTGAAAAATTTAAGGGGGTCTGAATACTTTCCGTACCCACTGTATGTCTTCCAACCAGGTGCCTTCAGCACTAGCAAAACAATGCATAAAGAGGGTCACAGAAGCGCTGCGTCTAATCAAACACATTGTTTTCTATGAGTGTACGTACAGCACTTTTTGTATTCTTGAAGTGAACTTTTTGCCTGTAGACTAGTGATTAGATTCACTGTTTTGGACTGTCGGCTTTAACTTGAGAGCGTGAGTACAGGATCGTTTATAGATGTCTGAAGTCACGGAGAATTTCATTCCATTTTTCTTTTTCTTTTTATGTTACAGTACGCAAAAACGATTGACTATTGTAAAACTGAAAGCCATTCATTGATTCAGATTGAGAATCTGATTTATTAAGAAATACATTTAAATCTAAGCAGTAATTTTGATAATCTGGTTTATTATATTTGACTAGAAAAAAGTAAAATATAAGGACACTTAAACAATTAGTATCCAGATTGGGTCTTGAGTGAAACAGTTAATTTCAAACTCGGTATAATTATATATAAACACCCATGTATATGCACATCGTTTTACTGAATGTTTATCATATGAATACATCATAGTATTTAAAACGTATTTTAATGTGTTTGTGAGAATTCAGTGGTATCACTGTTAAGGTAATGTTTAAAAACATGATGGTGCTTTGTGCAGATGCCAATGAGAAAATGTAATGTGGGTTGGATTGGCCATCATGACAGTGAGGCATACTAATGAAGTATGCTTTCAAATAATTAAAAAAATGAAATATCCGAGGCAATCTTGAATGAAACACTGCTGCAGTTTAATTAAAAGATAAAGCCATGATGTTAAAGCACATAAAATGGAGAGATAAACTGAGGAACACATTACATCACTTGTAACACGTTGACTTGAAATTGGTTACATTTTCAGGATAAATGTGGACTGGTGAGTTTTTAGGGACTAAAACCTCTGCAAACATGACTGATGAATCTGCGGCTTGAGGAGGACTATCACACGTGATGCTCATGCGAACGTTTCATCAGTGTTCAGGGAAGATTCACTGAATTGGTTTTCTGTCCAATGCAGTTTTATCTGATACATAAATGTCTTTCCCGTGAATAAGTGAGATTGTGGGGCAGAAACACGTCCTTGGACTGGTGAACTGCAGGTGTGAGCATTTTTCTCTTTATAATGGGCAGCAGATGCATGGAAACTATTAAATATCTGCAGTTCATCAAAAGCAAAAGCATGCTTTCATATTTGAGATCCAAAAGCATTGATACTGCCTTAAGACATTTTTCAAAGGTGAAGTGAAGGCACACAAATAGCTTAAGACATTCACATCTCCTTAACTAACGGCTGGAGTGGTTGGTATTTTTCAGCGCTGTTTTAATTTAAACTTTGACACTGAATTCTACTGCTTTATTTCATTAATACACTAATAAGAAATATCAACTGGAATCTGTATCAAATCTATTGTTCTCCAAGGGTTTTCACTAGTGGGATATTTTCACTTACCTGATTTAACATAAAAATGGTGCAAAAGCAGGAAGTAGTGCTTGATTACCTGCAGTGGACCACCACTGGGCCAATGTCGAGCGGCGTGGAGGCTTTGACCCGCCGGAGGAAGGCCAGCAGTCCTGTGGCATGATACGGGACACCGTGTTCTGGCCAGTTTGTAAAGTGGAACTGGCAGACTTCATGTTTAGCTGGGTAACCCCGCTGATAGAGGACAAATAAACAACGTTTATTCATTAGAATGTGCTTACAAACAAAAATTCTTACTTATTATTTGTATATTTTTTTCAATGATATCTTCATTTTATCAAAATAACACATGGACAATAGCTCCATTAACTAATTTAGATTTGATAACATAAAATCATAGCAAACCATTAACAAACATCTCTACAGTCTTACCCGCTCCATGGCAAAAGTGCGTACGGTGTATTCTGCCAGCGTTTCTGTTTTCAGCAGAGTGATTTTAATGTCTCCATAGAGCTCACTGTCATCAGGCCAGTATTTACAGCACTTCATCTGAACCACACACACACACACACACACACACACACACACACACACACACACACACACACACACACACGATGTGTTCTGGAGAGCAGGTAAGCTCAAGCAGTGATGTGTTGCTACAGCAGCAGAGAGACAAAGTCCTGCTAACTTCTGTCACCTCCCCCACAAACATGCTTCTGCTACAAGCCAAAAACACTGCTATATATGAAAGTCCTCAATGTTTATTGCGACATCTCTTTAAAATATGTATCATATTTATTAGGTTTATTTTGTTTTTTATGCAGTGCATGACTGCATGCTGAGGAATGCTAATGTTAATATCAGTTGCAAAAAAATTATATAAATAAATAATTACCATGTAGTAACTAGATTCCACGAAAATATCATAATTGCTACAGTTACCACATAAAACAGTTATACTACATTAAAACTGTGATAATTTGGGTCAAGCCAATAAATAAATAAACCAAAAGATAGAATAGATATTCTGAAAGTCTCTTTGAAAGAGATCCTATGATGTTACATTATACTAACAACTGTAGTGACCATGGTATTTTGGAGGAAAGGGGACAAAGGAAAGCTCAATTAACTGCTAAAGATGGCTGGCCGATTATGGAATGTTCTCTGGCTAATAGGGTTTCTTGGTAAAGTTTATCTTCAGTAATGGTCAGCTGTGGGTCGCAGTGGTCAGTGTTCAATAATGGATAGTGTCCATCAGTGGGCGGCGGCAGCCCGAGGCAGAGGTACACCTATTCTACTCACTCTCCCCACCTCCACCAGTTTGGTGATCATCACGATGCTGTAGCAGTTCTCCTGCCAAACCATGCGCCAGAAGTCATAGATCATGTCCTGCTTGGGCCCTGCGGAGAGAGAGAGAGAGAGAGGAATGAGCTTTCATGGAGAATTGTGGGAGGTGAATAATTTGAACGCAGGATGAAGAGAGGATCGAGGTGGTTTTGTGAAATAGCGGGTTGCGACATCGACGAGGATTACATAAGAAAAGAGAAAACAGAGACGGCAAGCTGCAGGGACGCGGGAGCTATCGGTTCACATAGAAGACAACGAATGGAGAAACTGCTGACAGTGAAAATCCAGCGAGTGATAGCAGCAAGAAACTAGAGTTTTAACTTTTTTTTTTTTTGAAGAAATGTGAGTGATTGCAGGATGCTAGGCAGTTACTAACGCTGGTGTTTTCAGTGTGCTGCTATGTGGTTGCTAAGATGATATTTTTTTGAGTGTGTGTGTCGCTATGGTGCAACACAATGTTTATCAAGAGAACATGGTCAAGTAAGAACCCATTTGGGCCCAGGACAAAGTCAAAATTATCTGAATATTACACTCTAAAAATGCTGGGTTGTTTCAACCCAACTTTGGGTAAAATATGGACTAACCCAACTTTTGGGTTAAAAATGTAATGTAAAAATTTAACCCAACGGTTGGGTTAGTCCATATTTGACCCAATGTTGGGTTAAAACAACCCAGCATTTTTTAGAGTGTACTATGGTATTCTCTAACCAACTCATTTTTTATGTGAGATCAGGTGCAGCATTTGTGCTTCGGTGTCACTCACTTCCAGTTATTTTAGCTGAACAAAACAGGCCTTTACACTCTAAAAAATGCTGGGTTAAATACAACCCAGCGCTGGGTTAAAAAGGGACAAACCCAGCTATTGGGTTGTTTTGACCCAGCGGTTGAAATTAACGTTCTTAGAATTGACAAACAGTTGACCCTGAGAGGTCAAGTAAATATCTACAGTGGATCTAAATATTTATAATTAATTATAACTAGTTAAGATTAATTATTCATATTTCCCCATGAGCTGATTCGCTACATCACACTGCCTTGTAGCTTCCTGGAAGCTAAAAACATCCCAGTTCTTGCATGGCCAGCATACTCACCGGACATGTCACCCATTGAGCTGTTGTTGTGTAAGTCTTCAGAAAACACAAGAATGCTTTATATGATGAACAGGGGCCGGCTGCATAAACTGCTTAGACTAGTCTACCTCATGAACTTTCTGAAGCATCAATGTTTTGGTTGTGCGGACTTTCAATGGATGGATAAAAATCTGTCAGGTTTAATTAAAAACATCTTTAATTGTGTTTCACAGATGAACAGAAGCTTGAAGGGTTTGGTACAACGGTGAGTAATTAGAATTAGAATTTTCATTTTGGGGAGAACTATACCTTTAACACTGTCAGTGTGGGACGGTTCACCTCTAACACCTCTAATAAAGTATTAACTATTAATGACATGAGCTGAACCTCTTTCATTCTCACTCTCGTCTCGTTCTTTTCTTCCTCATGTATTTTTCTGTGCACACATCGCACATGAATAGCACGCAGATATGCATACACATGGAAATATTAGAAACACTAAAGGAAAGCCGCTGAAGGTTTGTAAGCGCAGTGCTGTGAACACTCTGCCCTCAGATGACGAGTCTGTTATCTTCTCTACCTGTTAAAACAATTACAGCCTATAACAGGTGCTGCACTTCCTGAGTTCCTGAGCAGATCTCCTGCTATCACCCGCAGCTACATCCTCGAAAAATCACATTGAGGTTTAAATAGAAGGAGGGGAGGCATGTTTTCATGGGCATATTGAAATGGCATTTCCCAGCTGACAGCACCAGCCCAGGTTAATCAAAGCACCTCTGCCAGGAGAAGTCTGCTGCTAACAACAAACTTCTTTCACTTGACTTATTAGTGATGTTTGCTAAAGCAAGCATCAATTAAAAAACACACACACACACACACACACACACACACACACACACATCAGAGCTGTCAGCAAGATGTGCTAAAATTTCTCAGAACACCTTACCAACCACATAATAACATGTCAGAAAGCCCTGGCAACCATCCAGAACTCCAGCAACCACATAGCAAAATGTTAACAAAAAGCTCAGCACACCTTACTAACTCTTATAAACTTCATGCAGATCCACCCCTTTTCAGCACTGCACTCATTGTCTTCTGTCTTCTGTTTGTATTTCCACAGCGTGAAGGTAAGTTCGTACAAATATACAGTGGGTATAGAAAAGAATCAGCCCCCTTTACAATAACCACATTTTGTTGCTTTTACAGCCTGAAATGAAGACGGGCTTTTGTTTTATTCAGCTGTATTTACTCAGTGCAACTTATAACATCCAATTGAAAGATATAACACCAACATGTCAGAAAAAAAAAAAAAAAACTGGAATCACTGAGTTGGAAAAAGGATCACCCCCTCCTAAAAATGACTTGTAAACTCAGGTTTAGCTAATTACCTTCTCAATGGCACACAAAGCCATTTGATTTTCAACTGTGATGAGCTGTTGTGATTTTGATTAGCTCAGCATGAAAAGGGCTTTCCTGGAGTATTTCAGTCCTTGGTAGTGCAACTGAAGCAAACAATCAACTACGGGCTGCAAGACACTGTCAAAAGATCTCTGGGATATAGTTGTGGACAGGCACAAGTCAGGAGATGGATAAAAAAAAAACATTTCAAAGGCTTTATCAATGCCTAGAAGCACAGTGAAGTCTATTATTAAGAAGTAGAAGGTATTTGGTAAAAAAACAGAGCCTCCCTGGATCAGGACGTCGCTCCAAACTGATGAAAGAGCCGGAGGAAACTGCTTGTGTGTGAGCGCATGCTGTTTGTGCTGCAGGAGAGCCTGAGACCCACAGAGACAAAACTACAGACAGCTGAACACATCCACAGAATACGAGAGACAGAGAATCACTTCACCACAAACCTGTGGAATGCTTATGATCAGCTGTACACTACCGTTCCAAAGACTGGGGTTGG